GCAGAGGTATGGTCAATTTGCATATTACTCATTTATTAGATAAGATACATTAAGAAAAGCTTTACCTGCCTTTTTTAAAGGAGGGACAGGCTCTGCTTTGTAAACTATATGTGCAGAGTTAGCAACTGTTTCCAGCTGTCATAATTGATGCAATCAATGTATTCTTGTGGTTCAAGGTAGGTATAAAATCTGCATTGTAATAAATTACTCTTAATGAGTTTAAACCAGTTTTGTAAAAAGAGAGCTTAATTCAGATTTCATCCAGGCTAATGTTCTTCCATGAATAAATATTTCAATGCCTGTTTTATTATGTATGTATTGTTCTTATTTCTGTAGCTAAAGAACTCTAGAAAGCAAAAGGAAAAGAAAAGTGCAGATTTACCAGTGTCAGAGATATTTATAAAACATTTTATTTGGGAAAAAATGAGGTTATTTTCTTTCTAATTTAAGGAAAGGACAAAACAAAAAGGTATTGTGTTGTCCTGGAGATAATCATTATACAAGATCATCTCTCTTCGACAAAACATTGTTTTCTACATCCAAATATTATAAGAACACATCTTCCATAGTTAATGCTCAAATTAATTGTTTAAACATCCATTCGTTGTTTTATATCAAACTTGCAAACAATTTTCCAATCGGACCTCTAAAAACTCAAATTTATATTATTTGAGACCAAATAAATACAGATACATATAAATTGTTTTGTCAGTAAACTTATCATAGGACATAAGACATTTCTGTCTGAAAACTGATTTCTTACAGACAAGTGTGCTTGTATCTTAAGAAGATAACACCGTAGAATTTTTATAATAAACTTTTACTCATCTAGTATTTTTTACTTGACTCTCCACTAATTTTTTTTTCATACTGAGTAGATAAAAACATCTCTTTATCTGAGGCACAAAGAGGTTGAAGTATATATTCAAACAAGTGCTAATGAGTAGAATGTAAACTCTAGCAATGCGAATTTTAGGCTATATCTGAGTTAACTGGCTTTAAAAGAAAACATTAACTCTGTCCAGACCAGCTGATCAGAATTCCAGTCTAGACTTGAAAGGTGATTTGAACAATTATAGCTAATTACCTTTCCATAGAGGTGTCCAGACCAGACTCTGGTAACTCCCAGGAGCACTCCCAAGATGAAGATTGCATACTTCTCACCCCTGATCCTGCCCCCAGGTTCCTCTCCCCAGTGCATTCTCATTGTTTTCCTGATGTGAAAGTATGTTATATAGGTATGATGTTTTGATATACTGGGAGGCTTCACTATGAAAGAGTAAAGCCGTGAGAGTGATGATATCTAGATTAAAGACTGAATTCCTGGTGATTATAATAATCTTTAACATAAAAATTAACATATCCTCCTTTAGGGCTTGATTTGAGGATAATTGAAATAGTTTCAAAATTTCAGCATAGAGACTAGTATATAGACTTCCAAATAGATTTAAAAAAAGTATTGTGTTAAAATAAATATAATCTCAGATTTGATTTAGTGATTATTCAGAAATTGCTTATTGGAATACATCACAATGATGAATCAAACCTTCCTATTAGAATACTCAGAATCATACATTTAAAATACTAAAGTGATTGATGTCCTAAGTATTTAATGATGGACTTTATTATATTTAAAATAAGTGAACTCTTATGAAAATAATTCTTGATAATAAGCTTCTATTTTAACAGCTTTCTTTTTTTGAGAGCATGATCATTTTAAATCTTTACCCTTAAATGTTAGTCTGGTAAAGAAACTATGTGTGGGACACAAACAACATAATTAAATCATAAAACCAGTAGCCTAGTTGTTGAGGATTGGAATATATTTATAGTCTCTCGTGTAGAATTATATAAGCATGTTTAGCTAATAATTAAACAGGTTGTTAAAAATTAACTCATCCATGTAACTTTTACCCCGTTTTGAAAGTGATGGAGTGTGAACAACAAAGCTGAGTGTTTGTCTTTATAAAATGTATAACCCTGAGATTTTGTAACAGACCTACTTCACTTCATGAGGAAGTAACTCTTTTTGTAATATTTATTTAGGCAAGGTTTCTCAGGTCACTGTTAAATAAATCTAGTTAAGTAAGAGTATTGCATGTTAAAGATTTAAGAATTCCTAACCACACACTCTACATTAACTTTATTTTCTAGTATTTCCCCTTGCTGAAAAGTTTTAGGTTCTCAGAAGCAGTATGGTATAATAATTGATTACTTATATAACTTTTATACTCTGCTGCAAATAGTTTAGGGGTTATAGACTTATCCTTTTTATTTCCAATGTATGTAACAAAATACTTTTATCTTCCTCATTGATATTATATGGAATAATTTAAGTCTGTGAATGTAAGACTTGAGTAATAGTGAAAGAGAAACAGTATATTCTTAAAGTATTGTCAGTATAATGGTCACGTTTCTTAGACTGGTTATAAAGTAAATTGATTGGCGATTGACGATAGAGCTTGATCATTTTCAATTACAAGTTTTACTGCTGCTAAGGGCTTAGAAATTGTTGAGCCCATCAGAAGAATGTAGTGAGTTGGTAAATAAACAGGAATTAAAGACTGATGTCCCATCTTATATTTCAGTTTAATTCCCATTATTTCACGTTTCCATTTAAAATGTTTAACTTTATGGCTATTTTAAAAATAACTATTTTATAAATAATAGAGTCTCCTGGGTAATCCTTAAAATATTACAGATAAGGTTCAAGTCAACTTTGATTATTAAGTCAATTCCACAATAGCATCTTTTTCTGAAGGGTCAGCAAATCTCACATGGTGAATGTACCTGTTTAGATTAGATTTAGTTAAAAATACTAGAAATAAAAGCACAGTAACTGAAACAAAATTTAAACTCTCTTCAGTCCTGTATTCCAGAAATGCATATGGTGTCAATCAGATTGGTTGGTGCTCCGAGGTGTCCGGAATCCACTATTATCAATAACAGCGACCTCCGATTTAAGTCAAGGTGGCAGCTGGAGCAACAGTCATTATATTGCATTCCAACTCTAGGAAGAAGGGTACCTTTCCCTTTTAAGTACACTTCCTAGAAGTTAAAAATCATTTTCACTAAGATACTATATTGAGTTAATGAAAGCTGATAGCCATTTCTTTTTAATTTTCCACAGAAAGAAATAACCAGGTCCATTTTAGCTTCTAAATATTTTTCACACCTAGCTCTTCCTGTCTTTACCACCACCACTTTAAATCAGGTCTGCATCTTAGTAAGGCTTAGTAACAGCCCCCTAACTAATCCTTCCAGTGTTACTGTTCTCCAGGCTATATTTCTCAAAGCTACTGAATATTCTTTCTAAAACACAAACTTGACATTTAAATTCCTTGCATAAAACCTTCGTGGTTTGGCATTTTCTGGAAGACAAGGTTCATGGTCCTTAAAGTAGCATCCGGGCCTTCAAGGAAGGGCAGCACATCCTGTGGTTATGAGAATGAGTTCTAGAACCAGACCACCCAGGCTTGAATACAGGTTCTGCTCCTACCAGCTGTGTGGCCTTACCTAAATGCTTATCACAGTATGTCTTTAACAATGTTAGCTTTCATTAATATTGTAGTTTCTCCCTCACTTCCTGCACTTACTTTCTGACTGCTTTGTGATTACTTAAGGGCGCCCTGCAGTTTTATGTGTCTATTTTTGCTTTCCTTTGTAGTTACCAATAACCTCTCTTCATCTGCTACCCTTATTCCTGCCCCAACCTAGCTAATCTTGTCTCATCTTTTTTAAAAAAATACAATTTCATTGATTTTAGAGAGGAAATGAGACGAAGAGAAAGATAGAAACATCAATGATGAAAGAGAATAATCAATTGGCTGCCTCTTGCATGCCCCACATTGGGGATTGAGCCTGCAACCCAGGCATGTGTCCTGACCAGGAGTCAAACCCCGATCTCCTGGTCCACAGATCTACATTCAATCACTGAGCCACACTGGCTTGGTGTGTCTCATCTTTTAACATTTAGTTTAACAGTTGCTTTAAAAACTTAAGATTAAGTGACTTTTGCTTAAATAGATAGTATAGATCTTTTAACTCCTCTGATATGTATGCCTATCTCTATTATAGTTATCTCATAGTGTGACATTATAATGTTTATGTATCCAGCACCTCTATGAGACCACAGGCACTGTGAGAGCAGGAATTATAAATTATATTCCTCTCATTCATTTTAATGTCTGTCGTAATTCATGGTACAGAGTAGTCAAATAATAAAAAGATTTGTTGAATATATGGGAATCTGCAATATAAGGAAAGGATTGTTATATTGTAAGTCACTCTTGGACTCACTCTTCTTTATGTGGTTCAGTGCTGCTGGGTTGAGACTTTTGTGATAAATTTCCTTTAAAATTTACTTCTAGAGAGAGGCATTTATATCTTACATTCTTAATGCTTCTGTTTATATGACAGAGAGAATTCAACCTAGTTTTCTTTCTTGCCTTAATTATCTTTATCATAGAGCTAAACTTAATACTCAGATCCAATGACTGAATTGGCTTAGGTGTGTAGTATTTTAATTTTCTTATAGTAAAAAAATAAAGTGTACTTATTAATACATTATAATAAATGTAAAATTACTGTGGGTAAAAATAAAACTATTATGGTTACCATGTGAAGGGTAAATATATTGACTTTTCATGTTGTGACAAAAACAAATGAAAAGAGCATGTGAATACAATTCACTGTATCTGGCATGAGTAATGCTGAGAGAGATTCATCCCCATAATATACAAGATATGGGCATGTATATTACTTGTAGACTTAATTGCAATTACTCATAAATGAAGGCTATAAGTGTATGAAATTAAATTGAGAAATCTAGATTATAATAATTGTATCTGATTTATAATGACTACATATAACATGTAATATATAGTTTTGTTGTTATAAGAAAATTCTCATTTGAATGAAGAAGCATAATTTTTGTCCCCAGAGTGTTCTAAGTATATTTGTTATCTAATATATTATAATCGGAGACCTGCTTTTTCTAGGACATTAACAAGTGCTGGTAAAAACCTGCAAGAAAATTTTCTGAGAGCTCTGGCAGTGAGAGAAGAAGACAATCGCAATGGGAAAGTGAGCGTGAGTAATTCATCCAACAAGTAAAAAATGTGTACACTAATGGCATAGCTAGTATATAACATACTAACATAGTTAATAAGAGAACTTTTAATGTCTTCCTCAAAGGTAATTCATGAGGGCTATAATATGGCTTTTTATTATTTATGTATTATAGGCATATACATGTAGAACATTTTTATTCTAATTTATATCTGTCCAAGTAGCCAAATTGTGAAGAAAAAAAAAGGATTCTGTACATCTATTGCAGATAAAATACCTATACTTGGCAGATGGTTGTCACCCCCCCAACTCTGTGTTAATTCTTCATTGAAATTCCCTCCTGCTTTTCAGCTCAACCACCAAGTAGACTTCTCCAAGTCATATCATCCACTGATTCCCATGTTGTGCCCCCACCTACCTGATTTCATGCTACTTCTAGAAGATAGTCATAGAGTCTGCCCTTCAGTCCTACCTTGGGAGCTGTGATAGAAACCATGAAATAAATGACATGATTTGAATAATCCAAGGAGAATATGTTCTTGCTTTATTAAAACATTTGCCAGTTTCAAATATGTCAAGTTGCTAATACTATTTAGAATATGTGTTTACTTTTATTCATGTTAATATATCAGTGATAAGTCTTCTGTGAGTCTTAAAATGTTCTAAGTCAAGAATATAGTTGTATGCTGAAACTGTTATAAGTGACTTACAGAAAAATAATCATAGTAGCATCATGAAACATTTAGAGCAACAGGAAAAAAAATACGTGAATATGGAGGTCTGTTTCACGAAAGTGTTCTCACTAAAAAAGTTGGAATTTTTCTTAGGACCTTTGAAAATTCACATACAGAAAAAATTGTCAAGATAATTTACAAAGAAAAACATCGCATCTTAGCTATATAATTGTATATCTGGACTTGAAATCTGGGAAAGCTTCTTGAAAGAAGAGGGCTGAGTGAGGTTTAAACATGTGAAGTTGGAAATCTGGGCAGAGACTGGACTCTGGAGAGCCTTGTAATCACAATAGAAAAAGTTGGAATTTATCTAACTCTAAATAGTAAGATAAGCCAGAAAGATGAGAAGAAAGGCAGAAAAATGTAGTGTCACAGGAATCCATGATAATGACTACCAAATGGGAGCAAATGATCATTAATGATTAAGCAGGATAAGGATTGAAAAAATATATATATGGTGTTTGGCAATACACACACACACACACACACACACACACACACACACACCGTATTTTCTGGCGTATAAGACGACTTTTGGAAATGAAAAAAAGTCAACTGAAAATCGGGGGCAAAAGACCAAAATTGCACAAAAATTACCTGCAGATCTTGATGGCAAAGTAAGTCTTTTCTTTGAAGTGGGGGGTAGTCTTCTACAGCGAATATAGGCCTAAACCTATGTTTTAACTGTAAAATTAGGGGGTGGTCTTATACGCTGGAAAATACAGTCTAAATTTAGTCAGGGATGTAACGTACAGCATAGGGAATATAGCAAAAAAAATATTGTAATAACTATGTATGCTATCAGGTGGGTACTAGAAATGTTGGAGTGTTCCCCTCATAAGTTATTTAAGTGTCTAATCATTATGTTGTACACCTGAAACTGATTCAATATTGTATATCAACTGTAATTGAAAAGTTAAAATAATTTTTAAAAATTATTATTAGTATTTATTTTTGTTAATCTTCACCTGAGGATATTTTTTTCCCATGACTTTTCAGAGAAAGTAGAAGGAAGCGAGGGGCAGAGAGAAAGGGAGAAACAGGAAGAAAGAAACATTATTGTGAAAGAGACACAAACTGGTTGCCTTTCACATACGTTCCAACCATGGGTGGGGAGTGAACCTTCAACCTTAAGTGGAAAGGCTGGCATTCTAACCATGGGGTAACACTAGCCAGGACAGTTAAAATAATTAAAAAATTATTTGACAAGTACAAGTTTCATTCATAATAAGGATGGAAATCAGATTCTATAGGTTTGAAAAATGGTTCATGTTAGACACTAGTACCAACAAGTGCAAACAGCTTTAGTGAGGGTAAGCCTGTGTTTTTTGTTTTTGTTTTGTTTTTCACCACAATCGTATACTTCCTATCTAGTTCTCCTAAGTATAAGTCAAATCATTTCACTTTTTACGATTTCAACTATAATTTAATTGATTTAAATCTCTATTATATCTAAAATAAATTACTATAACAACCTCCTAAATGATACACTTATGCATTTTTTTGCCCAACTTTCACCTATTTTTCAATCACTCAACACATATTTCTTGTGCACCTGCTGTGACACTGCAGATTTTATGACTTTCAAGAGTTTATATTTTAGAAAGGAAGACAGAAAACAAGTGAAATTAACATGGAACAATTGATTTCAGCTCTGAAAAGATGCTTTGAAGAACATAAAACTAGAAAATGAAATAGTCATTGAATAGTGTATTTTGTTGATTTAATTACTGGATACAGAAAAATCACTTTGAGGAAGTGACATCTGATAGGACTTGAATAACATGGATAAGATAGCCATGGAATTTAAAGGGAGAAACACCTTACACTGATAAATATTTTAGAAGAATGGTGCATTAAACTCTCCTGAGATAAAAGAAATCATGGCATATTCAAGAGATGGTAAGAAGACCAGGATGGCTGGAATATAGTTATTGAAGGTTATGATAAGACAGATGCAATCAGAGAGAGGTCAGCAGCCAGATCTTATAGGTTCTAAGAAATTTTGATTCTCTTATTTAAATTTAATTTTTTATATTTATTATTTTATTATTGTAATAGAGAGTCAATGGGTGGTTTTAAGTGAAGAAGTGACCTGATCTAGTTTACACTGCCGAAAGATAGATCTCCCATCTGCCAGGTGGGATGGAGATGTAGGAAAGAGAATTAGAGCAGAGGCAGGAGAAGTTAAAAAGCTCTTGTAACTAGCCAGCAAGAGATGATGTTTAAAACAGGATGGTAATGGTTGAAATAGAGGGAAACATCATGTCCATGTTTTGTAAAAAGATCAGACAGGACTGATGGATTGCATATGAAATATTAAAAGGGACATTGGGATGATTTCTAGGTTTTTGGCTTGAACAAGCAGGTGGATGGATGATGGTGACACTTTGGCAAGGGAACTCTGGATGAGTGCTGATTTCAGGAATCAATAATGAAATACTTCTGCTTTGGCAATATTAATTTTTGACATCTATCTGATATCCAAGTGGAGAAGTTGATTGGTCATTTACATATATTGGTCTGGACCCTAGGGGAGATGTCTTGGTTGGAATATAAATCTAAATAGAAAGTTCTCACTGTCTAAATGGTATGTAAAGTCATGGACTTGCAAAAGTTTACTAGGCAGAGAATATAGGTTAAAAGGTTGAAGTCCTATGAAAAATCTTTAGGATATTCCAACATTTCAAGATCTGGATGTGTGGAAGGGACAGACAGCGATACTGGGAAGTAGTAGGTATGAGGAAAATCAAATGAGAGTGATGCTACAAATATTGGAAAAGAAAAAATTTCCAAAGAATGAATGCTCAGCATCTCAAATGCTGCTGACAGGTTAAGTATGATGATAAGTAGTTTCCCATGGCTGCCATAACCTCTTACTACAAACTGGGTAGTTTAAAACAAAGGAAATTGATTGCCTCACAGTTCTGGAGACTAGAAGTGGGAAATCATTGTGTCAGCAGAACCATGCTCTCTCTGAAGGACCTAGGAGAGAATCTGTCCTATGCCTTTGCCTTAGCTTTGCCAGCCATCACTGGGATGTCTTGGTTTATAGAAACATCATTCTCATCCCTGCCTCCATCATTACATGGCATTCTCCCTGTGTGTCTTCTGCTCTTAAAAAGAAGAGCATATTGGATGACCCTTTCTCCCCAATGGAATATGAATCCATCTTAATTTTATTACATGTACAAAGAGCTATTTCCAAATAAGGTTATATTCACAGGTTCCAGGAGTTAAGACCTCAACATCTCTTTTGGGATTACACAACTCAACCCACCAAAATTGATTTGCTATTGTTTATGGCTCGATAAACCATGGTGAGGGCTGTTTCAGTGGACGACTGTGGTTAAATGTTTCATTGGAGTAGGTAGAGAGAACAAAAAGTATATAAATGAAGATAAAGGAGAAGCAATTATTTTTGAGGAATTTTGCAATGCAGTATAGTGTAAACAGTGTGCAACAGCTGGTGTAGGGCTTGGAGTCCAGGAAGTTGTTTTGTTTTATTTTAAAAAGGATTAATATTAGCCTGTGTCTTTCGTTAATGAGAATGATCAAGTAGGCAGAGAGGTATTGATGGTGTAGGAGAGAAAGGGAAAGCTTTATGGAGAGAATTCCTTAAAAGGAGGGCGGGATCCAGAGCACTATAAAAGGGTTTGCCTTTGAGGGGAGCAGAAGCTTCTAGTGTGATTGCAGCTGGAAAGAAGGCAGCGGTGATAGGCACTTCTGCTAAGTCGTCTGGTGGATCTGGATTTGGGAAGATGAGATAGCTCGGCAGCAATTTTATATCTATTTTCAATGCCTTGTCCCTCCAAATGTTAAAATACATCCGCATGATTTTTTTTAACCCACAGAGAAGGCCCTAAATTTAACTTTTATTCCTAATGCTAAGTAGTTACCATCTATGTTGGGTTTATGGTCACTGATTGGGAAACTGGAATCTTGTCAGTCTCCTAGCTTGATAACTTTAAATACAATATACTAGAGGCCCTATGCACGATATTTGTGCACAGGGGTGGGAGGGGGTGTTTCTCAGCCCAGCCTTCACCCGCTCCAATCTGGGACCCCGTAAGGGATGTCTAACTGTCTGTTTAGGCCACAGATCAGGCCTAAATGGGCAGTCGGACATCCCTTTCACAATCCAGGACTGGTGGCTCCCAACTGCTTGCTCCTAACTGTCCTCCCTTGAAGGCCTGGTCAACCCTAACTGCCCTCCCCTGCTGGCCTGGTTGTCTCCAACATCCTGATCCTGCAGGCTTGGTCCCTCCCTCTCCCAACTGCTCTCCC